TTAAAGACTATGGCCATGCCAAATTGAAGGAGACCTCTCAGAAATGACCCTCCTGCAACCAGAGGGATAAAGATAAGACTGATGGGAATGCAAACAGCACTCCAGATGCTCCCAAGAAGACAGAGGTTGGGAAAGGGAGCCATCTGGCTTGGAGAAGAAACAGCAGTCAAGTGACATCATCTTTTCCTCGCTGGATCTAGAGAATTTCTGATAATAAACACAACAGGACATCATCAAAGAAAAAGAGCAAAGGGAATTAATGTGCCCTTGTGATGGGAGAAGCAAATTTCTTTCTTCTGAAAAGCAATTGGCACAAATATCAATTTATGTATAATCTTAATCTTGGAGACCTGAAATGAAACAGCCCATTTGCCCCACCTGGAGATGTCTTTTTCCTTTTCTTCACTGGAAAGTAGTTTCATCAGGCCTGCCTTCCTATAACATGTTAGGAACCCTGCTGAGTTATGGGGCAGCACCATGTAGCAGCAAGAGAAGGAGAAATTTCCAGAGTGGCGCCTTCCCTTCTACAAAGTGAGAGGTCAAAGATAAGGCAAATGAAGAGATGCCCACACTTCCCTATTAACTCCCGCCCGCCCCAAACCCTTTCCTTATTTAAAAATATCTTAGGCTAAGACAATAATGGTAATAACTTGGCTACTCTTTTTTTGCACAAGCACCACTGACGGTTATTCCCTGCAGGAAACAGAGATAGGACCCTGGCATTTAAAATATGCAAGCAATCAAGAAAATGGAAGATCACAGATTTTTTACTCATAAGCTTATCTTAAAAGAGTGGAATATACTTAAAACATCAAGAAATTCAATACCACAATAGTACTAATAAGGTTCATCTAGAAGCCAGAGCTCACTCTCATTTAATGAGCACTGATTAGCTCTATTCCTCAGAGGAAGGAACAGAGGGGAACTCTTCATTTAGAGGCAGAGTAGAAAATGTCTGAAATCCACGTACAGCTGTATTGTATTCAGAAAAATTCCCAGCATGTCAAGGACTCAGAAGGTACCTAATTTCTAATGAGCCATTTTTACTGAATTAGCACCTTCTAACCTACATACTGAAAACCTCAATAACATTGCTGAAGCTGTGTAGTGTCTGATCAAAGGATTCTCGGCTAACTACACCATCTAGTGTCAAATGAAGGAAAATGCAAGAAAACGATTTTCCAACTATTTTCTTAGCACACTTTTTCCTTTAATGGGCTAATAAAACACCATCTCCTCACCTCCACAAGTTGCAAATAACATTTAAAATCATAATATGTCAATACCTCTTTCTCAAAGCTGCTCTAAAATTAGCAGTTTCCCAAATGCTCTCATATAACTGAAAACTTCCTTTAAAACTTATGTTTGACATTCAAACTTGCTGAAGAGTCATAAATCTTATCTTCTACATTTATCTTCTGTTAAGTAGATCAACCTTCAACAGAACCTTGCAGCTTTTTAAAGTGTGTTTACTAGCATAGAGCTAAGTGCATGGGAAGTGCTACAAACAATAGCAACGCAAAGTTCATGCTAAAAATCTGAAGCTACAAAAGTCAAAATCACAGTTAAAAATGTCTCCAATTTTCACATGTTCCGGTGTTCACATTCCTAAACATTATTTATCAGAATCAGAACCTGAGTGTCTCAAAAAGGTGTTAAGACCGGCTGAGGGCCACGTTTCCAACCATTCAGAATAAACAACCGCTGTGAGATCTTTAAAGAAAGGTATCTAACAAAAACTCAATATATTTGAAGTGCCCAATAACCAGTAGCTCCACAGGGATATTTCTGGACTACATCAAACCATATAATCTGGAATATGAAATTACAGTGATGCCTGCCCTGTACGCAAGTCGTTAGACTGGCTTGTAGATGCATGCTGAGACGTTCACTGCAAACTTGGAACACAGGCAGGCAGCCTACCTGCACAGAAAGGGTATAACACTCTTGGCTTCCAGAAATGGCTGTGGGTACTGGGTACAACGGTTGGTAGTTTTCTGATTGCATCACCTTTGCAGATTTCTTCCCAAAAGAACACAAATGAATGCAAACAAGCAACTTTTCCTCTGCCAAACTCAAGGCATTTGGGAAAATGAGGAGATTGAGACTGACACGTGGCCTGGCTTTGGGACAACAGTTTGGTTCCAAAGCGTATTGACTGGGTTATCTTCTTGCTCTACATTTTTCTTTCATGATGCTCTTTCCAAAGAAAATGTATTGGGCAAATCATTCCATCAGTAGGGCTCTTTGCAGGCAATAAACACAAAGAACATCATTTTCAAAAACGCTTCTGGAGATGCACTCTGGTGCTGCAAGATCCCGCTATGAAATTCAGGCCACGAAATGCAAATTCAGCCAGCGACTTCAACCCTGCTCAGCCAGCGATCCATCATGCTGCTTGTGCTGCGTGTGCTGGCTGCATTGCTTGTCAGATAGAGAGTCCTACTGACACAGGAGGTGATGTGATCACTCCTCTTGGTAGAAGCTAACCTGTGACTTTGTTTTACACATGTTCCCTCTGCACCAAATATTCTGACCTGTATTCAGAAAACTGGGGCAGAACAAGTCATTTTTTCAGTGAGAACAGCTCTCAGTGGAGCTTTCTGACAGCTTTATCCCACTGCAAATGTCAATGTCATCTCACTCCTGAGACTAGAGTTGACAGGCTGTATTTGGACCCCAGCATTTGTTATATATCCTCAGAGCGGTATCCCAAAAGTTTCACCTCTCATGAGAGACAACAAAATATTTGAATGGCAGGCACACTCATCTAGCAAATACTTAAAAAGGAGAGTTTCACATTTCCCTAGGAGGCATACTATGGGTTGAGAGCCGGTATGCTTCTCAGTTAGCTTTTATCCAGTGCAGCCATGATGTTTACACGGTACTGCTGAGAAGAAACCAGAATACCGAACAAATCAGAGCACAGGTGGGAAATTATATGGTTTGAGAAGACAACCTGTTCTGACTGGTTTTTGGAGAGTTTGGAATGGCATTCCTCAAGTATGCAGCACTCACAGTGACAAATCTTCTGAACAGAGATTTCAGTCAGACCTCCGAAAGAGGAGTCAGCCAAAAGTAGGTATTTCAGAACAGAGGACCACAGTGTCATGGGCTCTAGCATAAGGTTTACTCAGGCCTCATGAGCTAATTCCGTACTTAGGGTAAAAAGCAGGTGAAAGACTGCAGGAAAAAGAAAGCAGGAACATCAATGCCATGTGAAGAGAGAAATTTTGATTAACTGGCAGCCATGAGACTCTAGAGCCTCTGTGAATCTGAAGTGAAGAAGAGAAGTTCAACAACAGAGACAAAAATCAGTGGCCTCAGAAGAGAGCTTGTAGGATAAATTCATTTCCATGTGGAAATATTGCATAGCTCCTCTCCTTGCTGCACTTCAGAAAACTGTATGTACTTTCTCCTATCATAGTAGGAATTTGGACTGTGAGCCATTTAAGGCAACTGCAGAAGTCTGGAGATACTCTTTTTCCTCATCTCACCTCACAACAATAAGTCTTTTGCCATTGTTGCTTGGATCACCTTGGATCCTGCAGCCGTACTTGGAAGTCTCCATCTGTGAAGCAAAATATCATCTGTTTCTGACTTTCATGAATAAGAAGCACCACTATCATTGTGACACTTAAAGGAGCCCTAGAGTAGAGGGGATATATGGCTTCCAGGCAAGAAGCTGTTTTATCTGTGGCTTTGCCCTCCGGTTACACTGAGGCCACAAGCAGGCAAACCCTTCCAAATAAACTAAGCTGATCTACTTCAGCGTGAGAAGTGCATCACTGTTTATTACTGGTGGCTTCTGCAGTAGGTAGGTAGGTGACCTGGAAAGCTGCCAAAATATTAAAAGACAAGCTGCATACAAACTACACAAACTAACATCAAGAACAGAGGACAAAGATTAACTCATGTGGCTAATCCATGAAGGTTCAGTGAGCACCAGCTGCATTCACATCAATTTTTAATAATAAACATTTTCTTTCACTTGTTACTACACTGCGATCACTGTACTAGGCAGGCAAAGCACATTTCACAACCTTTGAGCACCAGAAGAAGCAAAGCACATCTGCCTTATATGCTGCTTAGATAAGTGCCTGAACAAATCCTTTATCCAGAACATCATCACCTCAACTAATGTTATTCTCCTTTCTTTCTCTTCCTAGACCTAGCAGAAAATGACAACTAATAGGAAAATCATCATGCTCATCAATCCATCCGTGTTGCTTTCATTGGAAAAGTTTTAGAAACATCTTCAAATTATTGCAGTCTTGGTAAAGAGCAAATGCAATTTTCAGAAACTGAATTCTTTTTAGTTAATATACAGGTTCACTGTAGAGCTAAACATTTTTTGTGCAGCCAGCTATACCAGAGGTCACCAGACACACACACACACACATACATAAACCCTTTATATTTTTAAATAATTGCCTTAGTTGACACAGTGATGTGTCTACATCACTGTAAATCATGACAAAAATCATAGAAAACAGTAAAGGCTCAGGTAGTAAAGATGTGAATAGTGGTAAAAGCATTCCCTTTTCATAACACATCTTATGACTTTGCTGTAGCTCTTTGAAGGATGCCAAAGACAGGATTGCATTAGAGGTTACAATTGCAATACTTTTTTTTTTTTTTTTTTTCAATTTGTGAACAAAAGATAGTCAAGACAAGCAGAAATATTCCATTCCAAAATCATGGCAATATTGAGGACAAGAACCTGTACTACTCCTTTCTAAATATACAGAAAAAGGGCTCATTTGGCAGTAATAACTTTTACTCAAGCTGTCACATCTCAATACAAAGCTGTGCCAACTGAACTATCATCTATTACACTACAGCAAATCTTAAACACCCAACACAAAACAATCAAACTGCACTGATACCTTTCAAAAAACCAGCTTGTTTGTTCCTACAACAAGTAAGGTTTCCAACGGCTTTCACGTTACGCGATTCCTCCATTTGAGGATCAAAGCCACAGTGAATATCAATCCTACCTTCAAAGGTGAAATGTGCGACTGTAAGACATATCCGTGGACGTTCTCTATTTGAGACAAGTTCTTCTCTGACACATGAACGAGCTCAGGGCCTCTCACTTCGTGGGTTAATCGAGGCAAAGTATGATCATGTGGAGCATCCTCATCTTGATAGCGATATTTCTAGGGGAAAAAGATAAGAATAGCAAATAAGCTTTAGGAAAACAATGCACATATATCATATTTACGTATCATTTTTACGTATTTTATATCTAATGTCTATAAGACATTAGACAATATAACTCTTGAATTTCCTAATCTGTGCTGGAGAGAATATCTCATTCTGGTTTTAACATTTCATCAAAGAGAGAAAGCGTTAGTGTTATATCACACTGATAAATAAAACGTTTACCTTCAGATAGATATCTCAGATGACAGTCTGGCAAGGCCTAACACTGCAAAAAGGCATGTTGCTCTGTTGAGCTGTAGCGTCAGTTCGTATTTCCCATCCTCATATCCTCTGCACTTTTGCTGCCTTTCTCCCCACAATATTTGAGTCATTTTCCATTCAGCACAGGCTTCTCCGTTGTTGGAGTACCGGTGTACAAACTGCCATAGAGCCATGGGCAAATGGAAACTTACCATCCAGTAACAACTTTTCCCCTTACCCTGCTGCAATATTTCTAGACTAAGAATTAGGAGATAAGTATTGTAACTCCCCACTCCACAAAGAAGTAACGTAAGAAACAGATGAGGTAAACAACTTGTCCAAGGTCCAAAAAGACGCTGGTAGCAACAAGGAATAATAACTGTAACCGTAAAAATAGAAACCAGGCCTGTCCTTTAGCCAGAGGATCTGCATTCTTCTTCAGAAGTCTAGATCACATTTATTTCAGTTGTCTGGTCAAGGGGAGGGCAGAGACCTACAGATGTTCTCTTCTCTAGCGTACGCAGAGGTTAAATCAAGGGTTAAGAAGCTTCTGAAAACAAGATACTACATACAAGCTCACAAACTCAATGCTTTTTTGAGGGAGAAGACTATAAAATGGATAGCATGTGAGAGATGTAAATTCACATTATTTAACATAATGCAGGAGGATGTTCTGACATTATAGCCGTGAGCATTGCATGAAGAGCAGAACGGAATATAAATTAGAAAGAGGACTGATAAATCTTTGGCACAAAGAGAGGGGTATATCGTAATACAGCAAATGTTTTCAGCTGAAAGCTCTATGCTAAAATATTAATGAGCAAAATTAAAGATTAAAGAAGAAAGTCCAGATGTGGAACTCTTTTGCAGTACTAGATGGTCAAATAAGAAAACCAAAAAATCTTAAAGTTCAGGAATGTTCACAAAGATATTACAAAGAATATTTCTCTACTTCTCCCACATTCAATTTTAAGCACCAAGCTCAGCAGTGTTATTCCATTTACACATCCTTCTAAAGGAAATTGTCCCAGTTTAATCCTACCTTGATTCTGATGTATGAGAATGGTTCAGTTTTTGTCAATTATCTTTAGAATAAACATATGACATGATTTATTCTCTTTTTCCTTTATGGGATATGCGTGCAACCCTTCACATATTCACTTTCCAGATAACATAATTAACAAATCTATAAAATGACAGGCACCAGACAAGTATTATTTGGGCAAGAAGCCATCCATCTAATAGATGGTATTCTAACCAATGTCACATTAAAGGCTTGGCACACAAATCACTTAAGCCTCAGGCAATCAATTATTTTTTGAATCCAATGAGTACTCTTTCAAAAAAGATGACTACTTATAGACATCCTATCTAAAGAGAGCAATTTACTAAGACATGATTTTGAGAAATAGCAGCAGAATAGCAGAGTAATTCAATCTCTCTGTATAATGGTAAAGATGAAAATGTCCAGCAACAGCTGTCCAAAGAGACAAGACAGCAGTGCCAGAAGCCATAATGAGCTTTGGCCTGATTATTTACGAAGCTTTATAGAGCCAGAAGCAGCATAAGGTGGCAGAACGTCTCTTTACGTCCATTGGTAAGTCCTTTTGCCCATCACAGCACTGCAATGTAGCCATTGCATAAATGAGAGGCAAGGCCCAGAGTAAATTGGCTTACCCTGGGCCCTATGATGCTGAAAGGCTAAACACTTTTGTGGCTCTCCACCACAGACTTTCCTATGGAAGCCTATATTTTATAATTAAAATGGATGGTCCGATAACTGCACATTCCCATGAAAAATTAGGTAATATTCAGGGCTTTTGTGCCCTAATGAGAGAATCTACAGAACAGTTTTCCCCTGTTCCATTTCCCTTTATCTTCCTCTCACCTCAAGCCCAGCCTTCTCATTTCATTCTTCACCAAATATGAGTCTAGAGCATTTCTAGGTGAATCCTATTTCATGCTTGCCTCATGCCTCATGTGTTCATAGCACCAAACTCATTGATTTTCCTACATCTCTCCTCCCACAGCATCTCCTGATTGAAATGCTTTCAGCTGTTCACTCTAAGCCGAAGCAGCTTGACAAAGCAAAAAGCTAGGGATAAGGAAAGTTTCGGAGAACGGAAGGCAGAATTGAGACTCCTGCAAGAATGCCTCGTTCCTCTCCGTCACTCTGTCCTAATGGGGCCCAGCAAATATCACTGAAATTACCCAGTTCCCTAGAAACCAGCATTTTATCTAAGGGTTAATTCAAATTTCTGGAAGTAAAAGCATGATTGCAGGAAATGCTACTCTTCATTTGACAAAAGAACAGGTGGATGTCTTATGATAATTAAATTACAAATCAGTGCCTGCTGCTGACAGGGTATTGTACGCTGCCAGCTAGCATCAGATATTTAAAATCCTCTGTAATTACCTATAATGGGGGACTGGAGTGTGCTGCTGTGAATTTTTAATGTGAACGTGCCTTTTTATACCAGTTCATTCTCTCTACAATGTAAGATTATTACAGCACCACTGCTCCTCACAACATACTGTCTAATGGGACACTTTTAAGGCTGTGTTTGCCAAAGAGCTGTCAGTTAAACAGGACTGAAGATAGCAGAGGGTAATGGTCAAAAGCCTTAAATGCTCAAAGGTGAACAACGCCAGCTCTTAAGAAAAAAAAAAAAAAAAAGGAAGACATCTGCTCAGTAGCAAGTTACAATAGCTGAGCAACAGCACCTTCATGGAAATACTGCAGTTCTCACAACTTCTTACAACCTACTTTTTTGGACCGAAAAGAATTGGCTTTTGCAAAAGTCTTCAGTATTTTCTGCAGTTACCATCATTTTGCTATGCATAAAATGCAAATACAACATTTTGTTTCAGATTAGCTCAAACTGATCTGTGTCCTAAGCTGCTGAATGTAGTCCTGCTGGGGTTGTCCTTCAAGGGCGTATGTCCCTGTTTTTCTCTACATTGCGCTTTCACTGGACCACACTACAAAACATGACACATTACTTTTGCTTGCAAGAGGAAGGCGGCAGAAGGAGGGAGCAGAGTGTATTAGAGGAGTCATGTGGTTCTGTAATATCCTGTGAAATGTCAGTAGCCGGTGAATCCTGGTCTAGAGAGGATCTCGAAGGAGCCCAGGGAAGAAGGCACCTTGGTATGTGCAAGAGACCCAGAATAACAAATCAAGCTAAAAATGTGATGTTTCTTTTCAGTCAGCTGAAGCTACATTTTAGACACAGCTGACAGAGCGGGGAAAAAAAGTATCACAGCATACTATGAGATGGTAATTTATTCACCCATGAACAGATCCTGCCCCCGATCCTGTATTACTCTCTTTGGTCAGCATAATATGTTATGGCAAAGGAAACGTTAGCTATGCTACTCATTTTAACTCTCAGGTATCATCATTTCAAGTCTTGAATGCCATTCCAATATTACAGTCCTTCTCAGGAGGGGCCAGACTCCTGCATGTTAGAAGCTGCACAGGTCTTCATATAACCCACATAACTTAGAGACCACGAGGAAAGGAATTTCTGCTGAAACTATCCTGCACAAAACAACTCCTGACAGATGCTATTGTCCCATTGCAGTCTGGAGCTGGAGGACACATGCAATTGGGTTACGGAGCTACCTGCTTCTTACCCCTTGCTCACTTGCCTTTTCCCGCAACCCAGGTGTGAGCCAGGTTGCAGCTCCCACCCACAGCAGTCCCCCTGCTAGTCATTTGCTGTAACCTCAACATGGGAGCTACCTTTGAACAAATCAAGGTTCAGCCCCCTTCTGCATGATAATAGGTCCAGAATTGAATGCACTGGATTTATTCACAGTTATAGTTAAAAGCTAAAAACACTGATGTAGGAGTTGGTCCCTCTACACAAAAGTTTAATCTGTGAAGTCTCATTACAGTTTAAAAAATATTAGCTCCACATTGTCTCACTTTTATGTTTTCAGTGGTCTCCAATATGTTGAATTTTACTGGCACCACTCCCAAAAACAGCACATTTCAATGTCATACAGATGAGTATCTTGAGAAAACAAACTTTACAATTTGCACACACAAGTCCTTGGGCAGTCATCCAATCATGAGTAGAAATAATGTTACTCATCCAGCTGATTGCAAATGAGCAACACAGCTTGAATTCTGAATATTTGCAATCAATCTATAGAGTCAAAAGAGAAAAAATACTCTTGTCATTATATAAAATGGAAGAAATCAGAATCTGCTTGCCAAGATTGTGGAAGCAGATTAAGAAGCTTAAATCATTGAATAATTATACTTATTGTGAACGACTTGCTCTTTTGCTTATCAAGTATTTTTCTAACAAGCTTGTCACTGTATCACAGCAACACCTTTCATCCAAGAAGCCTAAAGAGCTTTACAAGTGGCAGTCAAGTCTTTTCCTGTTGAAAAAAGTATGTGCATCATTTAAAGGGGGATAAAATTAGGCACAGAAATACAATAGCGCTCAAGGTCACAAATAGAATCAATTAATTAAGCAGTAATAGAACTCATGAGATTTTTCCAGTCTGGTCTTCTAAGTCCAAGACCTAATGGGGCTACAGTGATGATTAAAAAAAAAAAAAAACAAAAACAGTTACATGTTGCCCCACTGCCATTGTAATCTTCTTTTATTTTTTCCTTTTTTTTTCACAAAGGTCCCAGGAGACAGTAAACTTTCTAAGGTGAGGGTTTAGGCTTTTATCTATGTCAATGTAATAGCTAGCAGCACTTTATGTAATTTCTATGGTGTATTTC